GCTTTACAAAATTTGTGCTAATACATATAAATTAAAATGGATGTATGACTGCACAAATATGATAATGATGAAATGAGCATGTTGATTACATAAATAAGGATTATTTTAATTGACATATTAATCTGTGATAGTTCCTCCCTAAATGACTATCTAAAGAGTTTTACAGTCGAATTTTCTTAAGATTTAGAAAACTTTTGTGAGACATAATAATTTACAATTACTCCAAAAATAAAAAAGTTGTAACATTACAGAGGTATTATTTATGTATCATAAAAGTCACTCAAGTAATAACACGGTGATTTTCAAATAAATCTACAGAACTGTAAAGCTGTCACCAGACACCAGTTTGGGAATATTTCCATCTACTTTAGAAATTCCCCAGGGCCATTACAATCTTATTGCTTAGATCCTGCTTTAGGCAATGGCAGAATATCCTTCTGACAAAATGTGCTATTTTTGAATGTTTCATACAGATGAAATTGTAAATATGATTGTTTAATTCTAATTTCTTTAACTTTGTAAATTCTTTCTGAGATTCATCCATTTGTAACACTGACAGTCACACACTCCTCCCTGTTATTCAGTGTTACTTCAGTTCATGCACTTTATTTATCAGCTCACCTCTGGACATTTATGCCTTGGATTGGTTAAAGTTTTGAACTATTAAAAGCAAGACTTCCATGCATGCAACATGTCTGATTTTGGGGAGACATTTTTTTTTTCACTCACTAGGTTCCTAGGATTGCATTTATGGGGTTCTATGGTGAATCTATGATTAAAGTGAAATTTGGATTAAGAGAGGGAGTGTGAGAAAGAAATCTGTGCTATTTCTTAATTATGTACATTCCATGCTTCAACCCGTGAATTGAGATGCTGAACCCATCATTTTATCATTAAGGTATGAATTCCAAGTTTCTTTCTATTGATGCTGAGTAACCTTGCATTGTTTGACATTATAGGTTTATAGTTCAATTTGAATTTGTTTATTAAATGCTCCAACCCTTTTATGTAGCTTCTAGGATCAACTGTACAATTTCCTTGTAAAATGTTACTGTGTCAGACTTTGTTGACTTCCCATGGGAGCCCTTGCCTATTGGGAGGGGGGATGGGGGATGGGCTGGAGGAAGGGTTTCTACTTCCCTGCTTAACACTTGTCAGTAGCTTCCAGTTCTTATAATCTCCTGCTGTGGGTATTGTTTCAAAGTAATGCTGACCCGGTAGAATGAGGTGATAATGAGTCCTCTCTCTTATGAGAGTTTATAGAGGATTAGGATTATTTTTTTCTGTTAGAACCCGAGAGAGTCTTCTGTGCCTGGACTTGTCTTTGATTAGCTTTCATTTTTTTTCAGATAGCTTATTCTATTGCATATGTATGGGTGTTTTTCTTGTATGTATATGTGTGCAGCCTGATATACAAGAGGCCAAAAGAGGGTATCGGATCTCCTAGAAATGAAGTTACAGATGTTACCGATATTAGGGGTTCTGGGAGTAGAACATTCTGGGAATACAGCCATGTCTCCAATCTGACTCAAGTTCGCTAGCTGAATTAGATCTGATTTGATTATTTACTTGTTTGTTTATTGTATGTATCTGTGTAATGTAATATGTATCATGTAATATGATATGATGTGATGTGGTGTGTGTGAGTGTGTGCGTGTGTGTGTATATGTGTGTAGGCACATGTGAAGGTCAAGGAACTTTAACTGCCTTAGATCTTTTTTGATTATATGTTCATATATTTGTTTGTATCAATATATCACAATAATATATAATATAATAAATTTGCTCTCATTTTTTAGGTGAGTCTCAGAATAGTACCATTTCTATCTTAAAAAGTAATTTATTTCTAGTGAAGCTCTGTTTCTTTCTTCTCATTCTTTCCTTTCAAGTTACAACATGATTGTTTCAATATTTTGTGTGCTTCTTCAGTAACTATTCCAAGTACTTCTTCTGTCAAGTTAAACAACTGTTTGCACTCAGAAACATTTTTTGATATTTCTCATATATATATGTATATAATAACATTATATATACATTCTTCATTTTCATCATTCACATTCTTAAAACAATGCACAATATACAAAACACTACGGAGACTAATGATCCTCAATTCTCCCCTAAAGTTTACCTTTGCTCTACTTTCCCCTACCTTGCATTACCTCTTTGACATCTTCCCTCACACGATTTGCGGTAGCTGATGTCTGCTAAGCAAACATAGGCAGCTGTTATCTGCAAAGCTGGCTTCTTTTTTAAATCTCCTGAGACTTGGGAGCTTAATGGGCAGCCATTGAGTTGACATAAACTTTGGTCAAATACCTCGACCTAAAAAGATTACAGATGGAGTTTTGGGCTTGGGGTGACCATTACATTTCGTCTTCACTTGGGTGCCTTGTTTTCTGAGATCTTGTATAGCTTTGGAGTTGACAGGAAGTGAAATGTCTGGGCTTCTCGAGATTTTGAAGCCTGAGACACCTCCCCCAAGCGGGACTGTAACCCTAGGTACATCCTCCTTGCTCCTGGTGGAGACCATCACATCCACAAAAACATGTATGGGCGGTGCAATTCTACGTTATCCCCAGTTAGTTCTGTCCCTTTTAGCATTGCACTGAAGCTGCCGATGCCCAGGGCTAGCCTGGCATAGAGCCTCAATAGCAACTGGAGAGGACAAGAGACGGCTCATTGCTATGCCAAACAATCACCCTTCCCATTCTTCCTATCCAAAGTGCAGCAGTGCTGGGCGGTGGTGGCGCACGCCTTTAATCCCAGCACTCGGGAGGCAGAGGCAGGCGGATCTCTGTGAGTTCGAGACCGGCCTGGTCTACAGAGCTAGTTCCAGGACAGGCTCCAAAGCCACAGAGAAACCCTGTCTCGAAAAAACAAACAAACAAACAAACAAAAACAAAAACAAAACAAAGTGCAGCAGTTTCCAGCACAACTGCATAACCTGTAGATAATTTTCAGAGCACTAAAGAGATGTTTGATTAATTCTTTCTAACTTATATCCCAGTTGAGAAAAGAGATTTCCTGATTTCTGTATAGCCTAAAGTCTCAGCATGTAGGAAATTTTAAAGGAGTGATTCTAAACTTGATAAGAATAATTAAAAACAAAAATGTATACCTCCTTTGCCTTATACACAAAATTGCAAAATCTATGAAGAATTACTATCCAGAGTATATTAAAATTTATTCTGAATAACTATGGTATAGCTTAAAACAATAGTCTCACACCAAGAAATCTCTAAGATTATTATATTAAAGGCTAAAATTGTTTTAACAATTACAGAAAGTCACTTGATAATGACCAGCACACATTCAGCAGATTGGGAATCAATAGATAAAACTCGTACTAACTCCCCAGAAGATAAATAATTAGCAGATAAAACCGTGGAAGTGTTCCCTTTAATATGAGAAAAGAGGAAGTCCTCTTTAGGTGTTTAACCCCAAATCCTTGCCAGTGATGTAAGGAATGAAAGAGAAATAGAGAATTAACTCATATTGAAAGAAAATAATTAAACTATAATTAATACAGATTATGTTATCAATTGCTAAGCAAAATATAACACAAGGATCAAGCTGAGAGAATTAACATAGCTGACAGAATTCCATCATTTTATATTTTAAAATTCCCACTTAAATTTTAGTTAATCTCTCAAGTAGTAGTAGTCTTTAAATAGATTTAAGATAAGGTGTGTGTGTGAGTGAATGTCTTTGTTAATTTTTTTCTCATTTACTTGTGTTTCATATTTTTAAACACCATTGGCTAACCGAAGTTCTAATTAAGAAGACTTAAAGAAGAGAAGAAAAGAAGTTGCAGAGCTGTTTCAGAAGAGAAACTCAGATTTTAAAGGAACGGCCAGTCCTCCTAGCTTTTGTAGCTTTTGTAGTCAGTCCCTTTAATTATAGATAAAGGATTTGCAGGTATTGGTTGGCTGAGTCGCTGGCCTGGTATTGTTTAAAGAGTGAGACTGACTGAGCCCCGAAGAAGAATTTAGTCAACTATGTTTATCGCGGAGGCAGAAGTTCTCAGACATTCCTCGGCTGCGGTGTTGCCAAGGAAGATGGTAGCTGGGTTAGACCATGGATGATACAAGTAATTAGGGTGTGTCTACCTTGACTGATCATTTTAATTATATGTCAGGGCCAAAGGAGGAGGAAGAGAAGTAAGAAATTAAAGAAAAAGCAACAAAGGGGACCAGGAGGTAATGCCCTGGTCAGCCTAGCTGGTAACAGCCCGTGTGTGGTCAGCTAAAATTGTGAGATTTTGTAAGGCAGGCATTTCCATTAATATGGAAATGCTTATTTTATTTATTAATGTTTTAAGAGTTATTTTTGGATTTTGCTCCAGTGAAATGGTTGTATGATGCTTCATATATATTCAGTGTGTTTTTTTCCCTTTTATTTTATGACTCGGTTTTCTTTTAACTATTGGACATTAAATTCATGCAAAATATTAGCTTGAATCTCAACCTGCAAAACAGACACACATAAGTCCAGTTGAATTAAATTAGGAGAACACTCCAAGTGTTGTACAAGAGAAAAAGAAAGGAATAAAATAGAAAAAAAAAAGGGCAAAGAAACTGACCGAAATGCCTGCCAATGCATGTTAAACACTGTGGCTGGCTTTTAAAATTGAGTTGATAAAATAATGACAGCCAGAGATACACAAATTGCCCATATTACACAGAATATACAGGTTCTGAGAGGTGTTATAATCTCTGTAGTTCAAGAAAGGTTCATAGAGAAACTAGACAGACAGGAGGTAAGAGAAACTTTCAGAAAGCTCTCCCCATCCAGCTAGCTCCACCTCTCAGCATCTGTCAGTGTTTCCTGAGTTGGGTCATGGGTTGGGCCTATGGACAAGCTGTACCAGATACTCAGCCCACCCTTCTCTAAGTCACATTCCCTCCCTTCTAAGTGGTTGGCTTCACAACAGTAATTAGGAAACAAACAGATAACTCTGAATAGAGTCCAGCATCTTTTTGAAAGTAAATGTGGCTCACCTTTGCCGGGGCAGCCGCCCTCGTGGCTCTTGATAAATCTCCCACGCTCTTATTGGACTTGGCTTCTTCTTCTTCTCTGAGAAAGAGAGAGGACTAGCATAATTTGATGTTAAAATTACTTGTTGCTAAGCAATCTTTAGGAATAAAGACAGACATGATCAAGTTGCTTTTGACTGCTTACTGTGCTCAGCCTGAGCTGCCAGAGTGAAAATAGTTCCCATAATGAATGAGCAAGACCCTCCATGCTCAAAAAAAAAAGTCTCAAATATGTACAAGGATAGACAAGAAACTTAGTGTTTAACTAACATACCTGACCTTGAATACTTCCTTCAGTAAGATGACTATATTGTTACTGTAAACACTGGTCTGTGTCATTATTTGCAACATCTGAAAGACTATTTACATTCAACTTGACAGCCCATTATCAATGTCAAGATAATCCTAGAAAATCATAGTCTCCTTCTTCCCAGGTGAGCCAAGTATTTTATTACACAGATAAAGAATAGCAATTTAATAAGTGACTCTAATATTAAACTATTTTATTCTTGTTTAAAATTATCAGTAATTACTTTATTCAAAGATTTGACTTCACATATATGATGAAAGGGAATCTTTGCTGTGAACAAGATGCTTGCTGGCTCATGTGCAGCTTTCAAAAGAATGAGAAAGTGTTATTACACATGCATGGAACCCCCCCCACCCTAAATCCTGTCCTGCCATGTGTCTTCATCCCTTCAGTACAAGTAACACATATGTCTAGTGCTTTGTAATGTCAATATTATTATTGAATACATCACATTAAATCCTTGACATATGCCATCATGACTTTTGAAAAACCAATTATAGGATAATTGTCTTAAAAGGATAAGCTTAGCATTGCCTTGATATGACCATTGACGTCTTGAAAGTATTCAAAAATGAAGATGGGATCCCTGCTAAAAAACATATCAGTGGCCTGCAGATGTATATCAGTGGTACAGTCCTTGACTAGCATTCAGGGAGCCTTAGGTTCAAAATTTGACACTCCAGAAAATATTCAGAAAGAATCTTAAAAAGAATTGTGATACTCTGGTTCCAGGATTTAGAACTGATAATACAAACCTTCTACCGCCTTCTCTCTGTCGCTGAAGAGAAAGAAATCGAGCTCAGGAACGGTGAACAGATGCGGAGACATTGAGTAATAATCCTGGTAGATTTCCAGTATTCTTTCTGAGCCCAGCAGTGAAAGCTGCATTGAGATTTTAGTCCACCACACCCTGGTTACAATCCTAGCCTGTTCTCCCTGGCACTTCAATGGGTCTAAATGCATTCTCCACAAATCTCTCTGCTGGCTGGCAGCCACCAGACCAGTCTGCTTTCTCCTCGGAGAATCTGCTCGACCTCTCAGGCACGGCAGAGTCAAGTCTTAACAGGCCCAGGAATCTGTCTTAAGTTCTTTGTATCTGAGAAACAGGAAGCTCAAAGTGGAACTACAATCCTGAGAATACTACAGGGTGCTAGTCTACTTGCATGGGGCTCCCTGACAGGTCTTTGAAATCCCATTGAGTGATCATTAAAGTCTTTCTCTGTGTGTGAGTGACAATTATCCGGTTTTATCTGATGGGAGGTGCCAGAATGGTCTGTTCACCCTGTGCTTTTACTCGCCTAGGTTTAAAAGAAGATGAAGGTGAACGAAAGATTACAAACAGACCGTCTTCATGCCCTCGTTATTTCAGAGGCTAGCTGGTCATTTGAACATGTGCAAGGCAAAAAATTTTTACTCACAGTATCCGTTTGCAAAAGATGCATAATTCGTTGTCCGAGCCATAGGGATTTGGAATAGGGCCGTTGCTTTCTGAACACAACTGCTTATTGATTTTCATCAATGCTTGAAGTTTTCTACATACGTCCTAGAGAAAAATATAGTTATACCATTTAAGAACTTCGTAAAACAACCTTATTTAATAGCATCATGCCCATGCCAGGAAGTCATTCAGTCAGTTTAAACAACACAAAACAATGATTCTGACTTGCCCATTAGAAACAGTAAACTCACCTAATAAGTGTTTATCTGATACAACTGATTATACGGAAAAACGTATGGAGACGTGTTATAGATACTCATTTAGTAAAATATTTTCCTTTCTTACTATTGTTATGGTGACACTGGATGTTATAATCATAATAAGCTAAGTGGATGCATTAAATACTAATGAGTAGTGAAACAGTTGTAGTAGCCACTAGACTGTGAGAGGATTGCTGGAATACTGAGACTAAGTGTGTGAGCACTGGACTCTACCAAGGGGCCCTGCCACATACTCTGAAATGTCTACTGCATTTCTCCTAGCAATATTAGCAGTTATCAGATGTTTGCAAAATGTTCCTTCATATTTTGGAAGACAAGTTTCTATAATGATTCATTCCCGGGACAAATTCCAGATCCTTTGGCCTTATATTAGAGGCTGACTTACTTCAGCGCTACTGGGGCTGAAAATTCAAGACTCTTCTCCCAAAGAGTTAGGAAAGGCTATGGTACTTGGAATTCCATTTTAACCTCCAGCACACTGTCTAGCACTACTGTTATCTGTATAACATCCTCAAAGACATGTTGTGATCTTCTTGATTTGGACTTCATTCTGGTAAATGCCAATGGTCCCTCTTTATCAAGTTTAAAAGGCTGCGTGGAGACCATTTTGAATTTTAGAATGCACAGGAAAGGATAGTGGAACGTCTCTGAAGTGAGGGAAATTTGTTTTCATTTCTGTGCTCAGTGTGTTTGACTGACAGCCTGCTCTCTGTGTTCCTTCGTCCTTCCTAGGACTGAAGGATATGTGAAAATCAACAGCACATTCATTTGTGCTGGGGGAGTGAGCACTCATTCAAAATGCTATCTTCACCACCAACGAGCAAAGTTTACTAGGCCCTTAGATCAAACTTGCCTAATTTGCCATTGATGCTTTCTTTAGATTTTCCCCTAAACAAATCCTGTTCTAGATACTTCCATCAGAAGGAAAATAATAAAGTTAATTTTTGTTCCAACTATCAAACATACCTCTTCCAAGGAATTGATCATAGGAGTCTGTGGACTCTACAAAAGCTTTATAATAATTGAATCTATCAACAATCATTCATTGAGATTACTGTTAAATTCAACACGACAATACATTAGTAAAGGAGCAGAAGCATGCTGATCTGAGAAGCTCACACAGAAGAATGGGTACCATTTTATCTAATCCAGCTTCTTAAATATGTCTGGAAGTTTCAACTACCTACAGAACAATTAGTAAGCGGTCCAACCCATCACTGGGAAATTTTTGCTAAGGGTGACCTGTTAAAACATCTTTGACTGTTATCCCTGTTCAGTGATCTCTCAGAGAGATGAAGTAGCAATTTATGGTAACAGAAAGGAGCTGGCCATCTTGAGATCTGATGTGTGGTTCATTGATGTTTTTTTACACCAATTTAGAAACTTACTTCCTAGACTGCCTAATGTGAATGGTTCTATAAAGCTTTCAAAACCTTATAACAGAAAGGCTATAAAGCCTAGTACCTTCACAATAAAATCATTATTCTTGGAAGGTAGATATTTGACAATATGTATAGAAAAAAGGAGTTATGATAATCCTAGAATGAAACTCTAAATAATTTTAATAGTTAAATCATAAAAAATCAATTCTAAGCAGTTTTGACTAGGTTTCATAATGTCACAGTTAAACTCCATAATGTCATAATTAGATGTAATTCCTTAAGGGATTCAGCTTTAAAAACAGTAAGTTAAAAAACTTGCTCACCGTGTTCAGTGTGCTCAGAGATGGGCCATGGTATTCTGCTGAGGTTTAAATATCCCAGTCTAGTTCCCTGGGATGCAATGAAAGATCATACAAATGGAAAGCACTAACTGTGCTTTTTTTGGGGGGGGAAACTTAGCATCCTTAAAATTATCAAAAAAACAGAAGATTGGTACTGTAGCAGATCCAGACTGAGATGTCATCACTCAGAGCCACGGAGATGACTCTGCCGTGCAACTCCAAGCCCTCGGCTTGCTTTCGTTTCACTAAAGGTATTCTCCTTTTCCACATCTCAGAAACAAACTGGATCCACCTCACGTCACGTGCTCTTGTTGTTGTCTTCTGTCCATCCACCTACCTGGCAATCAAATCCTCCAGGAGCTGGCCTTGCTCCCATTTTTTTATTGCAATGCTAACAGATTTGTTTTGGCTTTATAATGACCCTTCTCCAATGACAGATTTGAGCCTATATATAAGATCCTTTCTGGTGGCGACAGTGCCAGTCCATGGTGTTCTGGCTCATGTTTGAAATATTCAACAAGATTCTATGATGCTAGGAAGGCCTCAAGTTAATGAATTTTTAGGAGAACAGCAAAGATTGCAGCATCATGAAGAGTTTTCTGTTGGGGGACAATATCCAAAAAGTATTCTCAGAAACTTTTCCAGAGGGAAGACTGTTTTCTTGTGTGCATCTTGCCTTTTATTTCAATATAATAAGGTAGCTAAACCTGTGGTTTTCAATAAGATTTTCAGCACAGTAGAATTCGATGATATCAAAGAAATTCAGTGCAATTTTTCAACCATTGCCCGTGATCTGAGGTTTTAACGTGTGTCCTGCTCTCTAAAACCCAGACTCTGCCAAAGTCTCATGAGCCATCACTGACTAGCCAAACTTGGGTGAAATAATAGAGGCTATCTATGTGAAATCCTCTAGAATATTTACAGAACAACGTTTCTTTTCTTAAAAACAGTTACAGTGAGATATAAACAATTTAATAATGTTTTAAAAGAAGTTTGGTAGAAAGAAAACCTACTTAATTCCTTTATTTAATTTTCATGGCCTTTGAGAGATGTAACAAATTTAGCTTCACATGCAATATTGTTTTAAATGATACAGCAATGCCGTACACAGCAGCTTGTGGACAAAGATAAAATATGTACAGGACAAAGGCATGGCCTTTTCAATTACCTTTCAAATAGATATAAAATGTATTTCTATACAAGGAGGTTCTTTTGTTTCTCAATAACAGGCCTGTCATAATCACCTGAATACCTTCCTGGATCCAGGGTTCTGCCCTCACAGGTGCTTCTACCAGGGCTGCTGTAAGCTGTCAAGATCTCTCCTGGCCTTTGATCCTTGTTCCCACGCTTTCTCACCATAGAACACTCTGTATCTTTTTCCCATTTAGAAATGGAGACCTCCTTTAGTTCCTGTAATATTATATATCTTACTCTTTTTTCCCTAGCACTATTATTGAGAGAGCCATATATTTTTGCAATTTACCTGTCACAAAAACTAAAGTTTCAGAAGGCATGAGTTTTATGTCTATTGTTTACTTCAGAAAATACTGGTTTTTCAAAATAGATCAGAATTATTAAATAGATATGTATTTAATTATCTATATATGTGTATGTGTGTGTGAGTGTATGCGTGTGTGTGATGACTATGTACTGTGACAGACACATATTTCTTTGCATAACGATTACCTAAAGCATATATAGTATCCTGGATTTTTCACTTGTTGAGTGGAAAAATAGCAATTTCTTGGTTGATTATTTTGTTTGTCTATGGAGTTTTAAAGTACTATTTTAGCATGGTAGATTGCCTCTTGTAAATGCCTTATATAAATTAATATAATGAGAGAGAAGGAGAGACAGAGAGACTAAGAGAGAGAGAGATTCATGTTTTATCCATAAAGGCCTGTTTTTGCATTTTAAACAAAAGTTATTATTGCCTGTCAGTATGCTGTCTGTATTATTAACAAGAAATCAATTTTTCTTTTGGTAACTTTGAAGGAATTAAATGAGAATAAGCAAGACTGACCTGTACTGAATCCCCACTGACTGCATCTGAGACAAAAATGCAGAAAACAAGGTTAAGAGATATAAACTTTTTAATAAATTAGACATATGATTCACTCAGTGCAAGGCTCTTACTGTTTTACTGATAATGTATTCTACAACCACAAATTATCTTGAATGCATTAAGATTTATGGTGACAGATCTCATGATGGCACTGTCACAAGGGCCCAATGCTCACATTGTACTAAACCTAACCAGATTATCTACATTGCCTCATAACTCACTGAAGAGTGAGGGACAGCCTTCCTCCTTGACAGATGGTAGCACGGTGCATATGCCAAATACACCGTACCAATTTAAATATAACTTAAAACACCCAAGTAGTATAAAGCTTAAACTATATATATATGTATATATATATGTATATATGTATATAATATAAAATTTCATTTTCTGAACTCTGGCTATTCTAATTCCTTTTTACAGAAGCAAAATCAGAGCTCTGTCAGAAACTAAGGTTAATTAAAGTCATAGACGTATTACACGCTCATTAACTTAATCTCTTATACCTTAGATTTATTTTATGAAACAACATCGTTTGTGTATAATGATCTCAATAGCTTTATATCTTAAGTTCAGTGTTGTAAAAGGACTGTTCAGAGAAAGGTAAATCTATGTAGCCCATGTCATCCTGACAAGTAAACACAAAATTAGAAAATTTATTTTCTAGCTCTCACAAAATTCCTTAATTCTTCAGGAACAATATTTTCAATTCATTTAGAATCTTAAGATAGAATAAATGTAAAAGGAAATATTGTTTTAAAACTAGAACAGTCAATATAATTTATTTTTAATATTCACTTACCCACATAGTTTTAAAATACATGTAGTAATTGCATGCCAGTTTTAAGTGTCTAATGCCTATAGGTAGAACAAACTGGATGCTTGGATACAAAATAATCTATTGGCTTTTCAGAGCTAATATAAAATTATCAGAAGGGCCTCTCACAGAAAAAAAGTTCAATTATTCTCAAACCATTTTCATTATTAAGGATAGTTCGAGATTTTAACATTCTGTATATAATTACATATGTGTTATATACACGCACATACATATACATATATACATACATTAGTCTACATATTATATACATACATAAGTATTACACATACACACACACACATTCTAAGTAGGGGGTGGGGAAGAAAAGCCCCTTCCCCAAGCTTTGAGATCTATGGCAAGAAACTTTCAATGTTTGTAAACTGCTCACCTTGTGTGAGATAAAGAGCCAGGGTCAAAAGCAGTAGCACTGGGTCTGTCTTCATGCTGAAGGTGATGTAAGTCAGTTACAGGTCTGCTCTGTGCATTGCTCAGCTGGTGCTCTAAGACTGATCGTGAGAGCCGCACGATCTTTTATACATAGGGTGACACACACACACAGAACCAGTTGTTCAGGCTCATGCTAGACTCCTTAGATGGCACCAGTTCAGTTTCCATCCTATAAGATCCTGCCAAGGTATCAGATTTAAGCAGATAATGCCTATTTCTAGCACAGTAATATGTTTTCATGATAGTCATCCCAGAAGTCTAGAGAAAGGACCCCTCTGGGGGCCTATCATTTCTAATCCTATATGAGCTCCCCTGTGATGCCAGACATGCTACGGCCTCTTCAAACGTGTCTCTCTCTAACTGACCTCCCTTTATAAGTGAGAGGGGAAGGGAAACGTAGACAGATTCCGTGTCCTATCCATCAGGAAAAATGTAAAGATTTCCACATCGGGGGAAGGTTGTGTCTAATGAGAGAACCTGGGGTTTGTGTGAATTCCATCGGTAGATATTCCCAAGTGGGACTTAATGACTATATAGCGACTACAAACTTGGCATTCTTTTCCCTTCACACACTGGTAAAAGCAGAAACAGTGAACGTATGTCTTATATATAACGACTTTTTAAAACTTCCCTTGGGCTCCAGATATAGTTCAGTGATGAGGCACTTGCCTAGCATGTGAGAGCTCCTGGATTCCATCCCTACCTAGAGCCAGAAAAATAATTCTCAATCAAAAGATTATTATATCCTCACCAAATACCACACTCCTCCTAAAGAGTAAAGGTTCAAGACTAAACTTTCCATAGCCCATACATATCTAAATTATGCTGTTTCTACTAAATTAAATTTATCCTTTTGTTATTTGGCCTTCCTGCAAAGAAAAACAGTTGTTACACATTATGAATATTTGTGACCTTTACTAGTACACTGTTTGTTTTTCTCATTCTACAAAGTGTACATTCTATAAGACAGTTCATCTTTCACTGTTGGCTTAAATCTCCCACGTAAAGGACATTGGGAGTTTCTGCTGGACTCCTAATGATGGAAGTGAAGGTGTTTCTCACTATTCTACCAGCTTGTGGGACCCTTTCCCTCCTCCTGGGTTGCCTCGTCCAGCCTTAATATGGGGGTTTGTCTTTACTCTTATTACATCATGTTGTTCTGTGTTTGGTTGATATCACTGGGAGGCCTGCTCTTTTCTGAGGGGTAATGGAGGAGGAGTAGATGTGGGGACATTGGGAGGAGGGAAGGAGGGGAGGCCGTGGTTGTATATATAGTATAAGGGAAGAATTTTTTTTTTTTTTTTTTTTTTTTTTTTTTTGTTTTTTGATGCAGGTTTTTTTTGTGTTTTTTGTTGNCGAGACAGGGTTTCTCTGTGATTTTGGAGCCTGTCTTGGAACTAGCTCTTGTAGACCAGGCTGGTCTCAAACTCAAAGAGATCCACCTGCCTCTGCCTCCCAAGTGCTGGGATTAAAGGCCTGCGCCACCACCGCCCGGCTGGGGAAGAATAAATTTAAGACAATAACTGAAGCCACAATCAAATCATTTGATTTCAGTAATTCTCAGGGTTTCCACATACATAGGAAGAAAAAAAAAAAGTCATGAAATCCAAGAACTTTGTATAATCCTGGCGCTTTTAAAGTCGGAATTTTCCCCCCTTTTCTCATAAAATAATTTGTTACTCATACAACAACAACCATTGACTACTAACTTTTATCACATTGTCGCTGCTCAATAAAAGTAGTGATCGTGGAGAACAAGGTCTATATATATTACTGCCCTAACTTTAAAAAACCAGAGTCTGTCATACCTCATTGTAAGGAAAGCGGACTAGGGAGGCAGGCGGTCTGTGGCTGCTATTCCTGTCTGTGACTACAGCATAATGGAAATGGACCAGCTTTGGAGCCAAACCTTGACTCACCAGTTACTTGCCTTGGGCAAGTCACTTCCTTCCTCTGAGCTGTAGTTCCCTAACATGTAAAACAGAGTAAGGAACACAAGGGCTGTACAGCTCGGATGTTACCCAGGTGCTGTGATTGTGTGTGTACGCAATTTGACTACTGTAACAATACCAAGACTATGTGGTGAGCTTCGTTGCTAAAGACAGCTGGTCTCCCATCATGAAATGTCAACCTGCTTGAATCTGGATCTCAACAACATTTGCAAGTTTACTGAGCATCTACGTTCCAAAGTTAAAACGAAACGTCTTTTCATTTCTTAATTGTGCTTATTGGAACATCCTTGTTCCTATATTTTAAAAAAAGCCTTTTAAATATTCATGTACAAAGGCTAATATAGTTTATTTTGCATTTTCCCAGCCAGGTCACTGAAACTCTCTAAGTTTTGTAGTAGGCAAGTTAATTCTTTCCAATAGAATCAGTGACTGTGTAAAATGCCCTGACGATACCTACTGTGGACCAGGTGAATCCTATTCTCACGGGTGGATATAGAGCCAAGGAGGAACAAAAGAACCAACAGGTGAGTGCCTCTTTGAAGAATCTCTGCTATGAGGAAACCTGAAGGAGGTGGATTCCTCCCTCTTGGCAAAGGGCTCCTCACTGACAGCCAGAGCTTCCATTCCCAGGAGGGGAAGAACACCCAGTTCCCCCAATAATGAAAGATCCCATTGGATGCCCATGGCATCAGGGCTTTCTCTCCAGTTCACTTCAGGAACGTTGCAAATCTGGAGATAATTAATCACATGCCCTGTCAATCACTCTTTGTTTCTTAAAACCACAGTTGTTAAATTCAGATGAATGAGATTGTCGTTAGGCTTAGATTACTGCTAGACTATCAAAGACTCTCTCTGATCCACGTTCTGGTCTTCTGAACATTTATAAGAGATATAGAACTCTACTCTTTCTAGAAAGGAAAAGGATTAGATGGTAAAAGCTGTAAACTTTCCAATTCTGTTCATTTGTCATCCAGATTCAAATCTGAACTCAAGTGAGAGGTACTGACAAAGAGGGGAAAAAAGGATAGAACAGGCAGAATTTTCATAAACCAGCAATGTCCCTGAAAACAAAGAATATTTCTAAACATCAAAGTTAGTCTTCTCTTTTTCTATTGTTTAAGTTTCTTGATGCTTCTAGTGATTATTCTTTTTTCAATGCATGATTTTTTATAATTCCTCAGCTTTCACCACTGTCTTTATTTAATATTATGTTGATTTGATTTTCTTTGTTGATCCTCTGTGATTTTCTTTCTCTCTCTCTCAAAACACACACACACACACACACACACACACACACACATCTCAATAGTCAAATAGATGATGACGAAGAAAATTGCTGCCCTGGTTTGCTTTCGGTTGCTATGAGAAAACACTAAGATCGTAAACCCAACCTGGACAGGGGAAGATTCACTCAGCTAACATGCCCCTTCACAGATCTTTGTGAAGGAAAATTGGAGTTGGAATGTGGAAGGAGAACCTGAAACAGGGGCCATGGAAGAGTACTACTTGCTGATTTGCTGTCTGAGGCTTTCTTAGCCTCCTTTTATATAGCACCCTGGAGTTCCTGCCCAGGGCTGGCTCTGTCCACAGTGGACTGGGCTCCCCATATCAATCATAGATCAAGAAAATGCTCTTACAGACTTTCCCATAGGGAATCTCCTGCATGCAGTCCGTCATTGAACACACCCCTTTTTCAAGTTGGCAAGTTGACAAATATCAAACCAAATCAAAACCAAACAAAAACCACACAAGTGTAAAGGTCTTC